GCATCAACATCTGTTCAAAGAAATGGTAGAAAACCAATTACTGATTTTAGTTCAACATATACAACAAAAGCATTTCCACCAAATGAAAATGGTTTACTTAATGATGTAAGTAATAAACCATTAACAGCACCACTACGATCTCAATTGGGACCACAACGACGTACAATAATACCACAATCATCGTCTACATATTCATCTGTTGAACAGATTCTACCATCATCATCAGTTAATTTACCAACAAATAGACAAGCAACTGTTACACGTAGTTCATCATCATTAAGTCAAGGAAGAAAAAGTGGAATACCAACAGTTGGAAAACCACTAAAACCTTCGACTGCAACTGTACAGCGGTAAGTTATTAGTAGTTTTTGTCTTTTATTAGATATCAATTCTTTAAAGTTTGAATGATGCATACCTTTCGATAGTTAGCTTGTCTATTTATTGATTTCACGTATATATAATAGTGATTTGTTAAACATGTTTTCAGTCATCATTCACTTTCTTCACGACGTACAACGATGAATGGATTTTAAATAGGCATGAGTATAACAGTAGAAAGACTAACATAATATACTTTAACTGCATGCTTTATTGCACGGCTTTTTATTTTCCTTTTATTTTTTTTTATAAAATTTAATATATTTTATTTTATTAGACCTACATCATCATCAACAAAGCAAATTCCTTCTTCTCAATCTACGAATAATATGATGGTCACTAGAACTATTCGAACACAAGTATCAAAAATTTCTCCTCAAATATCTGAACCAATATCATCGTGGAATGAAGGATGCTATTGATTGTTTTTTTTTTCTTTGATCTGTAATCTGTCTTGCATGCACAATTTTTGTTTTTTTTCTTCTGATCTTCTTAAGCAACGGTGACCTATGCATTTATATTCTTACTCTTTATGGCTATAGTGACAAGTTATTTTTTGTCTTTGTATAAAAATCTTTCTTTTGTTTTTTTTTATTAATATTAGTAGAATGTACTTGTCACTGTTGATAAGTTCAAAATTCGTCGATCAGCATTATGTTTAACTATAGAATTAATCATTTTTTTCCTCCTTTTCTTTTCTTTTTGTTTCGCAGTAATTGTGCCTTGATGTTTGTTTGTTTGTTTGTTATTTCTTTTTGCTTTCTATACATTGTACTTAATGGTGTTACCTTTTCTTCTTGTAATCTTCAAACCAAAAAAAAGTAAATCAACGATATAGACAAACGAACAAAAAAAAAAGACAGATTTTAAATTAATTATTAATTATAATAATAAAAGATAAAAGACATTTTCATTGATTATGCTTAGATTTTCTATTTCTTTTTACTGTGAATATGGCGAATACGAATACTCAGGTTGGTTTTGTGAATTATTTTCATTTCGGTATTCTAATATTTGTTATATATGTAGTTTCGTTTAACGAAAGAAGAAAGTGCTTTGATGGATGAATGTCGAAAATCGAGCTTTTGGTATCGCTGTGAGTTATTGATTTTTATTTTTATTATATTAATTTCTTCTTAATAGCGGTACCATTGATGGCAATTACAACAGGTCTTCTGACATATCTTCGTTTAAATAGTATGTTTTAATATCATTTTATACAGAAAATATCTTTAATGTTTTATTTAGATTTCATACCACCTAAACTTTATGGATTCAAATTGGCTGGGACAAGCTTTGCAGGTAAACATAATGCAATGATTTAGTAACAGATAGATTATCTCCTTTTTTATTATAGCATACGTATTAGGTAAAGTATCATATATCCCAGAATGTCGAAGATTGATACTTGAACGATTACCTAATTCAAATCTTGCCCATTCATTTGAATCAAAACCTTATGATATGATATCAGATATGTATGTATATTTATTGGATTTTTCGTATCTCAATTATATTTAATTTATTTAGGGCACAACCACCTGAAATTGTTTCAAAAACTACAGCAAATAATATCTTTGGTACTCGTAATGAAGAAGAACAACATGATGATCTTGTACCTCGAGGTTAAATTTTTTGAACATAATTGATTTTTTTAGAAAAAATAAACATTTTTTAGATCCAATTGATAAAAATACTTCTTCGCGATATGTAACTTATGATGAATTACGTCAAAGAAATCGAGCTGAACATGCAACGAAATTTCCTGGAACAAAACCTCCAACTAATAATCCCATGCCGCCAACACCAATACAAGATAATAGACAATTAGCCCCCTTACCAATAATATCTAATGAACAAGTAGCAACTCGTCCTATAACTTCTAAACGATCGAATGCACGAAAAAATCAATATGGTGATGAAGTCTATGATTGATCTTGTAAACGATCGGGTCTTTCTTTTTTCTTATTTAGTTAAATAAAATTTGACATAGATATGTTTGTATGCATAAATAATATTTGTTTAATCAGATGATGATGATAATGTATTTATTGATTGTGTTACATTTGTTAATGAACTTTTTTTCGAATAGATTTCCTCATGAGAGATACTATTTAATTTATGCAAATGTCTTTTTTTTGCTCGAAAATGCCGATGTTTAGGAGAGATTGAATGAATATTTTTCTTCCTATCCGTTTGAGCTATATGTCGTATTGTTGGTAATTGATGATTCTTAATTTCAGCTTTAGCATGAACAATATCAGACTTTTGTATATCTTCATGATTAATACAAGCTGATATTGTACCAAATTGTGATTGTATTGTAAATTTATCTATTTTATGATGATGATTTTTCTTATCCATCGATTGAATTAATTTATATAACAATTGAGAAGATATATGAACTTTTAATTTCGGTGTAACTGATGTTTTTTGTTGTTTTATAAGAGATTTAACAAAACGTCGTGGTAATTCAATTATTAATTGAGTATGTGCAGATTTTGATAATGATAATGTTTCTATTGGATAGAAATCTTTTTCATTACATTGAATAATCTTGTTATGAACATCACTAGAAATAATTATTAATTGAACAACTAGAAAGTACATATATATATATTTTTGTTTACACTTGTTGAAAATATTTATTGATGTATGGCATAAGGATTTGGTTGAGAAGATCTTTATCTTTTGTGGATTTTTTATTATTTATGATTGAAGATTGTTTTTCATTAGGAGGAGAAGAATCATCTTCAAAATAGTTTTGATTATGTGCAATAGTTTTCCTTTCTTTCACACGTGAACTATTGAAATTCTATAATAAAATATTTTCTTTTCGTTGTTATCAATAATTAATCGATTTTCTTACTTTTTTTCTTTGTAAAGATGATGGTACAGAATTTGTTCGATGTTTAGAACTATGACTAATATTTTCACTTGAAGTTTTTTTTATTGTTTGAGAATTAAATGAACTCATTTGCATGAGATGAACTTTAGTTCGATAATAAGCACATTCATTTGATTTCAGTTCAATAAATTTTTCTAAAATCATTAATCGCTTGTGTAATTCTTTAGTTTTATTTGATAAAGAAGGGGAAATTGTTGTCATGCTTATAATGAAAACGTGAGTTAGAGAATGGAATAAATGACAAATGAACACGTTTCGCGCAATTGTACTAAAACGAGTTTTATATATATTTTTAAATCATTTCAATTTATTGGTCAAAAAAAAGGTTAGAGAAATAAGAGACAAATAAAAAGAAAGATATTTATCGTCGACCGGCCCATGCATTAAAACGTCGTTTGCTTATTATATTTCGTTTACCAGCCCAAGCATTAAAACGACGTTTTTCAAGCTCATGATCATCATCTTCATCGGAATTATCTACCATTGAACCTTCATCTTGATAGATTGACGTATATTTATTTGGTGAAATTGCATATGGTCGATGAACGAGAAGATGATCGTCATTATTATTTTCTTTGCCTGATAATGCAAATGAATGAGCAACACTTAACTAAAATAAATCAAGTATATATATATATATTAATACGCATGAAAACAATCTAATAAATATTAAAAAACAATTTTTTGTTTTACCATAAGTAAAAAGCAGCTAAGAATACCGGCGATAAAAATAGTAGTGTTCATGATCGTTATTTTCTATATGGGAGATGTATCTAGAAAAAAATAAAGAATGATCAATATGAATATTTGTAAACATCATTCGATTTTATATACTTATTGTCGAAAAAAGATCACAAAATTAAATCAATGCAAATAGTATTACTTAGCAAAACAAAAATGCAAATATGTAATTATATAGATATAAATAACAACAGTATTAAACAATGATACGCATATATCTTTTTATACTAAGAAAACTATTTTTTTTTTCGGAAACGTGTATTACCTAATAGTTATTGTATGTAGTAGAATGCGTAAGAATTTCTCGTGCGTTGTCTGCTCTTTTATTGTTCAATAACACGAAGTAGTACAATTATTAATATTCTCCAACAATTTTCCTAATAAATAATACGCCTCAAAAAATTCTCTCTCGTTCTCTCTGCCCACTTATTTGTTCTTTTTTCTCAATGATTTTCTTCTACAAAATATTTTTTTTTCTCTCTTTATTTTTTGATAGAATATAACGAGTTTACTTTGACTCATATGCATATTACTAATCAAAAGGACAATATGTGTGAAACATGATCAACCGTGTTCAAACGTGAGAGCGAAGTTCATCAATTGTATATGCAAACAAGGAAAAAATCATCAATTATAGAACGATTATAATAACGAACGAGGATACACTTGTTTAGTATTAAATATTTTATTTGTATACACTCTCGTCTTCATCCAATAACGTTCCGATCGAAGGATCTAACAATGTCGTTCATACTATTAGTAGGTTGAAACGAAGAGGAAGATCTTCTTTCCGCATAAAAAGCAAATATGATATATAGAAGAAGAAGAAGAAGAAGAAAAAAAAGAAACATGATCAAAAATTCGCCGAGTTGACTTTGTTAATTATCAAATAAAGATGCGATAAATAAATACATATATATATATATATATATTTGAAAGAAAAGAAAATATCGAAAAATTATTTTTGTGTTTTGCACAAATGTTACATTGGTTATTTATGTAGGAGGTTTTCCATTAAATTGAACAGATATTGGTTTTAATGTTTGACGAGCTTGAAGTTTTTCACGATGTGGTACTGCTTTTGAAATAGGTGTTGGACGCCATACTGGTTTATTAGGTTTAATAATTGGCTGTTCGGCAGGTGGTGATGGTGGTGCTGCTGGTGCTGGTTTTGTTTTAAGACGATCAATTTCAGTTTGTAAATCTCGATTAAGACGATTAAGTTCATCAATTTTAATATCGCGTAATCGAATATCATTCGCTTGATCACGTTCTAATTTCACTTGTAAAACATCTTTTGTACATATTGCTGATAATTCATTAACTTGATTTGCACCATAAAAACGTACTAATAAATCATGAAATGGTTGATTTTTTCGATCCGTAATTGGTAAATATCGACTTGTATAAAGTGATTCATAAATTTCTTCTTTCATTTTTTCCGTACCTTAGTAAAATAAAAATATTTATAAATAAAACCTCGTTTTTTTTTCTATTTTACCAATGCCTGCACTTCGAAGAATTTCAATTTCTGTTGCATATCGTTTAAGTTTAGTTTGTAGTTGTTCTGCTGAATCAAATTCTACACCAGTTTGTGTTTGTGATATACTTAGTTTTAAAATATCATCTTTAATATACAAAATTTATTATTAATTTTTTTTCCTATTATTATTATTTACCAATAGAACGAAACCAATCGTTTAGTACGGTCATTTTATCATTCATTTTAAATATACTTCTGGTATTTGCATCGGTCTAGCAAAAAAAAGATTAGATTTATTTTTCGGAATTCGAAAAGATCTACCATTTTAAGTTGACTTGACCATTTTTGATCATGATCTGATTGAATTTTTCCTAATTCATTTCGTAATTCTTTTACTTCTTCTTCCTAAAAATCAATATAAATGTTTTAGTTGAATTTTAAAAGTATACCTTTTGTTGTCGAACAAATTGTTCATGTCGAAGTGATTCTTTTAAATTGTTAACAACACGTTTTTCTCTAAAATGAAGAAGTAGATCCGTATAAATAATATTTTTCATAACTCACTCTTCGACAGTTTCAACTAATTGTTGTCGAGTTTCATAATGTTGTCTTTTAAGATTAATCAACTCAACTGATTTGCCTTGACCTTGACTTTGCCATGTTTCATTTAAATGAGCTTTTAATAACTAAATGGTTAAATTAATAAAAAATATGTTGTTGTTTTCCTTTTAATTATTTATTACTTGTTCTTGAAGATATGTTTTTAATTTATCTCGTGTATTCGAACTTAATTTATCAATACCTGGACATTTTTTTAAGAATTTCATCACCAATAACTATTCGGCCAGACGCTTCATCAGATGAATCCGAAACTTTTTTATCTAAACGATAATAAAAATCTATTGATTTAAAGAAAACAATTTCTTATTGTTAGTTTAGTTGTGAACGATCGAAGACAAATATTAGACTGAAGTGTATTGTATATTTACCTTCAGTTTCGAGAAATTCACCTAAAAATGGTTGTCCATTTGCAATTAAACCTTCAGCTAATTTTGTATAAGCTGTATCTCCATTTTCCATAATACTTGTTAGAAATTTTTTATTTCTTTCAGCTGGCGATGATATAACCTACATATATAATTATATAATAAATAATTTCATTAGAAAACAAGACATACTCTAATATCATCAAATACAAATTCAGGAAGAACTCTTCTATCATTTAACCATCCAAGTAAATTATCTGTTAAAACAATATTATTCTCCAATAACGCACGATAACGTTCTAATATATCACGTTTTTTCGAATTCACCATGTTTTATCTAATAATCAATCGATAATGTATATATAAGTAGTTGTATTTAAGATCTATGACATTCACCTAATGACATCAAGAAAAATATAGCTCTTCTATAATTTTCTCTTTTTCCCTACTACTTTTTTTGCAAACTTTTTTTCTTCATCAATGACAATAGTTCTCAATTTCCCCCTCGTCTTCTATCGACGTACTTTCATATATAGATGTATGTGTGAATAGAGAACAGCAGTCATCTGCCAACAGGCATGTTTGATTTGTTCAGTATATATTACACTAATAAAACATAAATAAAACCTTTTTAAATGGAAAAGAAAATTGTTAGAATACATGTTATGAAAATACCAAGGAAAAAAAACGTACGCATTGGTGGATAATAAACTTCGACAAGTCTGACATAATAAATGATATTATATAGCTAATTTTTTAATAGATTCAATGAAAGGAAGGAAATTGTTTATCATGCTTATATTTCTGTTTTTAGTAAGAGTTTTTTTTAAAGAGTAAAATATGATTGTATTACCTTATTATAAAGGACGTGTTGTCATATTAAATACTGAACGGAAACAAATAAGAGTTATACTCAATTTCAAATACAATTCAACTGATGATGGTAAAGTATTGTTAAAAAATAATATAATTGAAAATATCTATAAGAATACTGATATGAAAATTGCTAAAAGGAATTTAGCTACCATGTCAATGATTTGTTATATGCGTTAGTACTAATCAGTTGTTCGATTGCTTTTAGGCTATATTTTCCATTAAATTGATATATTTTTTTTTATTAAAAAAGCACTTTTTATTCAACTATGTACCTCGATGATTAATAAAAAAGGAAAAAGTACTTTATTTTTATGACTATAACAATAGTTAACCGATCATGAAGTAAAACGAATTCTGATATATTATAACTACCTCGAAATTGTTCTTCATATATTTACCATTTGTGTCTTTGAACTTAAAACTATATTAGATTACAATCGTCTATATAATTATTAATTAAATCAAATATTTATTACAATAAATTTCACATTTTAATATTTACAATAGTGTAGGAAAATCTGTTGCTTAAAATCGAATAAATTTTCATATGTAACATTCAGTTTTTCGTTAGTTATATTATAACAAAAGCAACTCAATAATTTCCCTCACAAATTATTTTTATTGAATCATCATTCGAGAAAATATCAAAGCGTGCAATGCATGCATTCAAGTATATTAATCAAACGAAAACGTGATGCCTGACAATGCTCTACATTCATGACAATCTTAAATAAGATTTATTCGAACAATATATATTATAACTTTGATGATAATGAAAACGATTCTTTGTTTATTAAACAAAGTGTAGACTCTCTACATGTTTTATAAAATAATTCTATGTTGGAATGTAAATAAAATTACTATTGAAAAAAAAACATTTACAAGAAAATAATTATTATAGACATTTAGAATCAATTTGATTGTATCGATTCATTTTGATACGTTGACATCATTTCTTTTCGTCCGTTTGAATAAAGCAGATATATGTATAACAACGGACGTCATAATATGAATGAAGTATTCTCTTCGTCAGTAGAATTATCTATTTAAAAATCGAACATTCATCATTCTATCTATTACAGTTAACTTCAGTCAGTTACAAAATATAAGTCATTTTAAACTAAAGCAATTCAATCATGTTTAAGTAAGTTATTGATTTATTCGAATGTAGATATATTTTAATGCCATTATTAGAGCAACTTTATTATGTGTAATCATTGGTATTTGTTATGTTCAATGTGCTATTATGAACATCACTGATGATTTCGATACATTAGATAAATTACCAAGTAATACAATTGATTTTTCGTTTTTTTTTAATATTTATACTTTTTAATTTCAGCTATGAATGCTACACTCTTAGATACTAAAGATACTGTTCCATTTCATTTACCATCTTTCAATGTAACTAAAATAGATAGCAGTGAAACACAAGGTAAGTTCATTATTTTTGCATTATATTCATTATAGGTTTTTTGTATGTTTTCAGTTAAACCAACGGATATGGATATATATTATAAATGGTTGAATTTTCTCAAATCATCGACACCACCACCAATGAATAATTCTACTGTTATATCAAATTTAATCTATGTAAACAATACCATGGATTCATAAATAATTTTATAAACCGAATTTTCTTTTTTTCTTTTACGATTAATAAAAAAATTGTTCAATATTTATTCTTTTTCTATACATGATGATTTAAAATATAAAAATATCTAATTGATTGCGTTGTATTAAATGAAAGAAGTCTAATGCAGTTGATAAATTGTTTAATATACATTTACTATCACCTACGATAAAATGAATAAATATTTTAATTATTAAACAAACAATTTCATACTTTTATCTGATGTATTTTGTACTATTTTTCATCAGTACAGTAAACCATTTCCTAAAATAAATACAGAAAATTCAGTCTTTTCAAAATTTCTTTTAAATAAATCTATCTCAAACGAGTAACTATTGGTTCTTACCCATTATAGAAAATTCTTATCCTTGCATTTCGATAAATATATCCCAAATAGTTTCGTTGAAATAAATAATTATTTCTCTATCTCTATGTCGCAAAAATTAAAAAGTTTTTCGTTCTTTTTTTTCTTGTGTATATTCATATTGAGATGAGAAAAAGAATTACATAAACTAGAATTTGAAAAACAAATGAAAATTGTATCGACAATAGACAATCTTTTTTTTTTTCGGTTGTAACAGCAAAAACATACAAAACAGAGAAATAATGACAAAGATACAAAACAAAATGTAGGATGAATTATTTAATTGAAAAAAAGTTTTATTTGTTTTTTTTCTTTATTTTACTATATAAATACTAAATTTGTTTCTTTCCGAAATTTCGTTATAATGACGTAGAATATTATTTATGAGAAAACAAAAAGATAAAATTTTTTTTTTGAGATTGTGTCCAAGTTTTTTTCGAATGAGAAATGAGAGTAGTTATATACATAGATTATGGTTTTTTCTTTTCGCCCACTGTCGGTTTTAAAAGTTCACCTCTCACACACATTGAATTAATTTATAAAACAAATCTTAATTCCAACTATAATTAGATTGTTGCTGGGAATTATTGTAACCTTGATCTTGATACCAATTGCCACTATTATTTTGCTGTTGTTGCTGTTGTTGAGAACCATAGTTTGAATTATCACCACTCATCGATCCCCATGATCCTCCAGTATTATTAGAACGTGGTCGTTTCGACATATTATTATCACTCATTTGATTAGGAGATCGTTTCATACTTCCATATTGTTGCATTGAATTACCAACATAATTATTAATACCCATTCGGTTAAATTGAGAATTGTTATTATTTTGTGATGGACCATTAAATGCGCCAAAATCAACTGAATTATTTGGTTTATTATTAAAGCTGCCCATATTATTCTTTAAATAGAAAAATTGAAAAAAAGAATAAAATATTTTTCTATATTTTCTTACATTTTGTGGTGGTTGTCCGCCATAACCTCCATGATAATTATTATTAAAACCACCACGATTATTTTGATTAAAATTACCATTTCCTCCTCGATTACTAGAATTAAAATTACCACCTCGATTACCTGAAAATCCACCTCGCTAAAAAAAAATAACCTTATTTATAAAGAAATTATTCGTTTTATTTTTATTACGTACACCGCCACGATTACCACGATTAGATGAACCTCCTCGTGAGGGACTATTATTCATTGAACGATCTCCACCAAATGCTCCGAAATCAGGACCATCTAAAAAATGAAATTAACATATCACAAACTATTATTTGAATATTACTAACTAAATGGATCGTTCATCATTGGGTTATTACCACGTGACGAATTATTTCCAAAACCACCCATTGATGGTCCATTATAGTTTCTTCCTCGTAAATTATTATCTGGACCAGGTCGAGAATGAAAGGGTGCATCAAATGGTTTTCCATGTTCACGTTTTGATTGGGCTTGTTTACGTTTATCATTTAATGGTTTAGCTAAACTAATTTCCATTGCATTACGACCAAGATTCTAAACAAGTTATAACTAAGTTAAATAATTTAATTTTTGTCTATTCATACTTTTCCGTTGAGTGCACGCATAGCATTCAATGCATCTTCTCGTTTATCGAAATGAACAAATGCATAATCCTATTAATAAATCTCGAGTTTTATGTTCTGTTCTAAATATACGAAAAAAAAGCTTACTCGAACTTTTCGAACACGTTCAATGTTTCCATAGGGTAAAAATAAATCTTTAACATCATCTTCCGATACATCTGATGTTATATTTCGAACATATAAAACTTTAACTTGTGACATTACATCATCATTAGGTTCTTCATCTGGATCAGCCCAATCAACTGCAATATCACGATTAAAAACCTAAAAAATTAATATTTTAGAATTTTATTAAAACAAAAAACTTGATCATACTCGAACACGGCCATTTGCTAATTTTCTTCTTGCTGCAGATGCATTTTTATGTGTATCAAAATCCACAAAACAAAATCCACGATTTTTTTTCTTATCAGCTTCATCAGCCGGTGTATAAACAATAACATTTGTTACACCCTCTAAAATTTCCTATTAAATCATATACAAAAATTTCTCGAAATAACTTACCAACTACTTTTGTTAATTCATCTTGAATTTCTTCTTTAGATTTTGTCTTTGGTATATTACCGATAAATATACGAACATTAGCAACACTACCATTTGCTTTAAGAAGTTTTCCGGGACGAATAGCATAACCATTAAGCTAATAATATGATGCGGAATTTATAAAAAAAAATTTATTTAAATGATTAACATACGCGTTCACAGGCTTTAACTGAATCTGGTTGAGAACAATATGTAACAAAACAATAACCTTTATTAAAACCAGATGTTGGATCAATCATTATACGTAAATCCCAAATTTTTCCAGCTTCTTCACATAATGGAATGAGTTCATCTTCAAATATTTCACGCGGAAGTTTACCAATAAAAACCTTTAAGAATATAATTCATTATTTAAAAACAAATATACGTTTATAACATACTTCGCTATTTGGAGCTGGTCCATCAGGACCATCTGGTGGTGGACCACCATATTTTCTTTGACCAGCAGTTACTTCGATTTTATATCCTGTTCGATCAAGAATTTCCTATATAAACAAAAAATATTTTTGTCTAGAACTAAACAATGTTTTACTTTAAGTTTCGCTTCATCAGGACCTGGTTTATGTTTACCAGAATTATTTTCTGAATTATCACCAACACTTTCTGAATCATTAGACGATGTTTTTTGTACTTGTGGATTTTGTATTATCCATTGTTTAATTAAATTACATAGAAAAGCACTTTTATTAACAACACCAGTTAAATCGGAATTATTAAATTCACTAAATAGTGAATCAATACTTGTTGTATCATTTGGAAATGAACGCAATTGTTCGCAAAGACGATTGTCTATATCATTTGAAGTTAATTTATCTAAATTGAAATTACAAAAGATTCAATTATCTATTTTCTTGTTGTTTTTTTTTCTTACCATTTTCAATACATGAACGAAGTTTTTGTACAATATTTTGATGAAGTCCTTGATCTGTCCATAATTTTTCATTTATCGTATCAAATGACATTTCTGATGTTTCAAGTTTTAATTGATCTAATTGTTGTTGTTGATATTGTTCTCCGGAAGTTTCATTTATCTCGGACATATTTTTCTATATTAAACAAAATCAAATAGAGACAATTGAAAAAACAATAAATCTCATGGATAGAAAGTAAAAGTGTTCTTTTCTTTTTTGACAAATGAGAATAGATCAATGAATGATTAACAACGAGATAGTGTTCTCTATAATGATTGTTCGGTTGAGTATCAATGCATTTATGCATTTAGACAGAGATGTGATTAAAATTATTCAGATATCATTACGTTATTTTGAAATAAAATTAAAAGAATTTTTTCGTATTTATATTTAATAATTAGAAAATGTTATTTTTACATGGAATGTAGCGATGATATGAGTATGAGTTGGAATAGATAATTCTCCAGGTGCCACAACATCTCATCTCAATAACCGAACAATCTGCTCGTGTATTTATTGATGATGTTAGGACAAATAATTATTCTATTACTAGTGATTTTTTCTAATTCTATTCATGCAATTAGTAAAGGTAAATTGATTGATGATTGAATTTCTTTTTTTTTTCTATAAACTATATATTATTCAGATGATTTACTTGTCGTTTCGGTCGCTACAAACGAAACAGATGGTTATCAACGTTTTATTCGCTCATTAAATATTTATGGATATAAATACGAGGTATTTATGACAGTTCATTTAAAAATCGAGGGTTAATATGACAATTGTTAGTAAAAGATAACAGATTTCTTGTATTTACAAATATTTATTACATAACAATGCAGCTTGATAATCGAATATAGTAGCAAAAGTTTGATTGTACTTTTATTATTTAGATCTATGGGCTTGGTCAACAATGGAAAGGTGGTAATATGAAACATTCAGCAGGTGGTGGTCAAAAAATCAATCTTCTTCGAGAAAATTTAGTTCGTTATAAAGATGATAAAACTAAAATAATACTTTTTTCGGATTCATACGATGTTATATTTACTCAAGTACCAGAATTTATTTTGGATAAATTTCAAGCATTTAAACCAGCTCGAATTGTTTTTGGTGCAGAAGATTTCTGTTGGCCAGATAAAGATTTACAAGTAATAAATTTAATCTTTTATTTTTAAATATTTCTTTTGTTTTGTTAGTATGCTTATCCATTAGTTGAAAGTAATGAAAAACGTTTCTTGAATTCAGGTGGTTTTATTGGTTATGCATCGGATATATATGAAATGATTTCAAGTAAAGAAAAAACAGCTGATGATGACGATGATCAATTATTTTATACAAAGATTTTTCTTGATGAATTTAGTCGAGTAAAAAGAAATTTTCTTTTTATGTTATTTGTTTTTTCTAATGATTTTTATTTAGACAAAATGGTCAATTGTACTTGATAAACGTGCTGATATTTTTATGAATTTAAATGGTGCTATTGATGAAATACAATTGCCGGTTCTCAATGACGAAAATTATGTACATAATTCATGGACTGATTCAGTTCCGACTGTTATTCATGGAAATGGACCTGCAAAAGTAAAAAGAGATTTAATCGATATTTTATATCGTTTTTTTTGTTTATAGAGAGGTTTGAATTATTTGAGTAATTATATTGCTCGTGTATGGTCACCGACTAAAGGTTGTTTACAATGTAAAGAAAATCTAATAGATTTAAATCAAATTACAGATGTAACTAGAGATTTGTTTGTGTGATTTTTCTCTTTATTTAATGTAATTTATTTAGCATCAACAATGGCCAATGGTTTATATTGCTATATTTATTGAATATCCAACACCATTTCTTCGAGAATATTTTGATAAAATATTAAATTTAACTTATCCAAAGAATCGATTAGGTGTTTTTATTCATAATCAAGTAAGAAAAAAAAAGATTCAACCGTTTATTTAACAAAGAAGCATGTACACGAAAGAAGAGAAGTGATGTAGTTCACTTTTTACTAGCCCACCAGTAAAGAAAGTCTCATGAGATGTTCATCGTGATCGAAATGTTTGGCAAGCAGGGCTGTGAAAGCTTAGATTCAGTTCTTTCGAACTGGAACTGTCACTTTGCTATTGGCAAGAGTATTGAATTGGGCTGCAAGGTGTGGGTGTAAATAAAGCATGGACACAATACCCACGCTCTCAAGATGCATGTCTGTATATATTTGCTAATAGAAGTACAGAGCACAGTAAAGCAGAATGGTACTCGGTAGACGATAATCATGATTAACGTAGACATATCCTATTGACTGTATGACTTTTCTCATCTATTTTTTATACCTTCGAAGAATATGTATTAGTTTATTAAAGACATCTTTTTGCATTAAGAAAATGATTATCAATTTGTCAAATATTTCCATCATGATGATGATATAACCGAAGGTGAAGCTCGTCAACAAGCTATGTAAGTTTCATATATTTTCCATAAATTCGAATATTTTCATTTGTTTTATATAGTACTGAATGTCAAGAAAATAAATGTGATTATCTATTTGTAATTGATTCTATTGTTCAACTTGATAATTCTGATACATTAATGAAATTAATTTCACTTAATCGTTCTGTTATTTCTCCGATGCTTTTACGACCTGAAAAAACATGGAGTAATTTTTGGGGAGATTATACAGATGAAGGATTTTATAAACGATCATCGGATTATCTTGATATTATTAATAATAGTAAAACGTAAATAAGAATTGATTTAATATAAAAAAATAAGATACTCATTCGTTTTATTTCAGAGGTATATTTAATGTTCCACATATTGCACATTGTTATTTAATAAATGGAAGTTTATTGAAAAGTTTTACACCGCAATATATTGATATGAGAACTGATCCTGATCTTAAATTTTGTCAATCATTACGAGATGATGTAAGAACAAAAAAACTAGATATATATTTATTTATCACAGAGGAATTTATTTTTAGGGCCATTTTATATATTTAACTAATGAAATTAAATATGGACATTTAATTGATCCAGATAATTTCAACACATCATTGATTATACCTGAACTTTATGAAGTTTTTAGCAATCTCCACGTAAATTTTTATATAAAACTTATATATATTTATTGAATATTTTGTTTTGAAAAGGATTGGAAAGCGCGTTATATTCATCCAGATTATTATAAAGCTCTTGAACCAAATACAACACTTCAAGAAGTAAGTAAAAACAGACCCATTTGTTAACTCAAGTTACAGTACCATTATTCTGAGTGAAAGATTAGATTTAGAAGAGTGCTCTTTAGTTTTAATTACTTTGTCTCTAAGATTCTTTGAAATATTCTTTTTAGCCATGTACTGATGTGTTTTGGTTTCCAATGGTGACTGAAGCATTTACTCGCGATTTAGTAGAACTCATGGAAAAATTCAATGGATGGTCTGGATCTGCTCATAATGTATGTCTTATAAGAATATTAAACTAAAACTTATTGCTTTATTTTATCTGTTTAGGATCACCGCTTATCTGGTGGTTATGAAAATGTTCCTACAGATGATATTCATATGACACAAGTCGATTTTAATGAGCATTGGTTATTTATTCTACGTGAATTTGTTCAACCAATTCAACAAAAACTTTACACTGGTTATTATAGTGATGTAAGTTTGTTTGATGTCATATTTTACAAGAGTATTCTTTCTGTTTCTTATTAAATATAGCCTCCAAAAGCTGCACTTAATTTCGTTGTTCGATATATGCCGGAATATCAATATAAACTTCGACCACATCATGATGCATCAACATATACAATTAATTTAGCTTTGAATGATGTTGGAAAAGATTATGAAGTAAGAGAAAAATAAAGTGATTTTTTGACAGTTTTTCATTATTAAATTATATTTAAAAAAGGGTGGTGGTTGTCGATTTCTTCGTTATAATTGTTCAATGGCATCAACTATTCGTGGTTGGGCATTGATACATCCTGGACGTTTAACTCATTTACATGAAGGTTTACCAGTAATAAAAGGAAAAAGATATATTATGGTATCATTTATTGATCCATAAGTGAAACAAGTATCAAAGTATTATTTAGTCATGTTTGCAATTAATCTGTTTGTTTTGTGTGTTTGTGTGTGAATTTACTGCCTTTGCAGTTATTAACTGTATTCAATGTACTCATTGGTGCTATTTATACTCATTTTTAAAAAGAACTTTTTTGTTTTTTGTTTTTGATATACTAGTCGACTTTAAAGTCATTTTACAAGTTTTTCTATGTGCATTTATTATCATCATGACAATTACTTAAATTTTGGTTTTTAGTGTGTAGTTCTTTTTTTGACATCTTCTTTTTTTATTATTATTAAAAAGAATCAAAATTCTATTGTTTTTCAGATAAAAATGTCTACCAATACTGAAAACTTATCATTTATTTCGAATACATTAAAACGACGTCAACAAAAACGTCATGAAGTAACCAAAGTTTTACAAGAAGGTATGAGTTCTCTTCATCTTTCATCATCTAATGAACAACAACACCCGCAACAACAACAACATCAACAGACAAATGAAGGGATCTATCCGCTTTTTAATATCGATCCTCAGTCCTATTTATTAGACGAAGGTGATGAACGCTCAATGCTCGAACCAAATTCATATAATAATTCCGATTTTAAACAAACAATTAATATTTTAAATAACTGGCTTAATACAACTTTAAGTACTGATTTAATTATTGTTCGATCATTTGAAAATGATCTTTATGATGGATATATATTTGGCAAACTTATTGAATATTATCAACCAAATATTCGATTACTCTATGATGGTATACCTTTATCGGAAGAATCGAAAAAGAAGACACTTACACGTATTCTTAATTATCTTGAAATACATTTTGATCAACAAAATCAAACTATTAAATGGACATTTGAACAAATTTATAATCGAGATTTTATCGCTATTTTACATCTTCTTTTGGCATTAATGAAATTTTTTAATCATAAAAAATTTGCTGATTTACCGAAAAATTTATTTTTAAAAGTTATTATTGTTAAAAAAACGAATGGCATATTACAAACAAGAATTGCGAATGAATGTTTCATCGATGATCATGATAGACAATCAATGCCTGTAAGTAAAGATTCTATTATTTAAACTAATATTTTTTCCTCCTTTTAGATAGGATCTTCAAAACAGGGTGATCTTATTGATTCTTTATTCGATCATGCACCTGATAAATTAGCAAGCATCGAAAAAACTTTATTGAAATTTATAAACAGTCATTTAAATCGTTATAATATTTATATAAAACAAATTGATATACAATATTTTCAAGATGGATTAAATTTACTTTATCTAATATCTCATCTAGAAAATTATTTTCTAATACTTAGTAAATATAATCATAAAAGACCAATATCACGTGAACAATCTCATGCTAATCTTCAATTAGCTTTTCAACTTATGAATCAAGGTAATTTTTATCAAAATAAACTCATATTTTTCGAATCGAATTATTTTAGTTGGTATTGATATTGAAGAATATTGTCGAATCAATGATCTTCTTGCAGGCAATCAAAGAACTTTATATCGTCTTCTTTTTCAACTTTATGTCAGATATAATTCAGATTCAAATAATTTATTACAATCAGTTACATATCTTCAACCTGTTCGAACAAATATTGATAGTCCATTTTTGTAATAACTGATAATTTTTACAAAATGTTTATATCAGATCGATTTTCTTACTCATTTACATGATCAAAAACTTAACTGTCAGATTTTGTTTGCTCTTATTTATATATCAATACTTAATTTTTGTACATAATCTAAATATAGTTTTTAAAATAAATCTAACTTTTGCCAAATTTTATTCATTAAATATTTATCTAGTAAAATATGTCAAAGAAAATATTGACAAACTTGTTCAATGATAAATCAGATTGCAGTAACATTTGATTTTGCGATGAAATGAGTAGACAAGCAAGTCATTTAAACTTTATTAATTATAAATAGAAATGCAATAGTCATAATTATTATATATCATTCTATATTCTTAATATAAAACTAAAAAGAAAGGCTCTGTACAGTTATTTTGTTGATTCTGTCATTTTTTAGTTGACGTCCTTCTTGTTCTTTTCTTTTCGTTCTACAAATGCAACGTGATGTGAAACCAATGACAACATCAAGGTCGCATCATGTACCGAAAAGAAAAAAATGACAACACAATATATAACAAATATAAAAAACTACGCAGCACACATTTCAACAACAGTCCACAATGTCAAATCAAAATATCTCTACTTTTCTTACATTACCAGTAGAGCTTGTCTATCGAATTTTGGACCATCAATTGGATTTTACAATTCTATGCTCAATGAGAAATGTATGCCAACGATTCAATAACATCGTAGATAGTTACGATCGATATCAGGTAAATATTTGTCTATTATGACAGTTTAATTTTTCTCTATTGACCTTCAAATTATTTTTCATTTAGACACTCACTACATTAGATCTCGAATCTAATGAAATTAGAGATATCGGGGCACAACATTTGACCAATGTATTACGATACAACACCGTAATTGTCACTTCTCTTCATCTACAATATATCTTTACTTAAACGTTTTTATTTAGACACTCACCACCCTGAGTCTCGCAAGGAATGCAATCAGAGATGTTGGAGCACAATATTTGGCTGATGGATTACAACACAGCACAGTAATTGTCAACTTCTCGTATCTATATCATGTCTGTATCTATATTTTTTAATTTAGACACTCACCACACTGAATCTTGGATGTAATCAAATCGGACATGTTGGAGCACAATATCTTAATAATGCACTACGACACAACACCGTAATTCTCATTTCTCTTTATCTATATCATATCTTTATCTGTAAGTTTTCATTTAGACACTTACCACACTGAGTCTTTTAAGGAATGCAATCAGAGATCTAGGAGCACTACATCTGAGTGATGCGTTACGACACAATACAGTACTTGTCAACCTTTCGCATCTGTATCATGTTTTTATCTGTATCTTTTGATTTAGACACTCACCACACTAGATCTTACACGAAATGAAATCAGAGATGTTGGAGCACAATATTTGAGTGATGGATTACGACACAACACAGTAACTGTCAACTTCTCCCAGCTATATCATATCTTTATGTATATCTTTTAATTCAGACACTCACTACACTGAATCTCGGAAGTAATGAAATCGGATATGTTGGAACACAACATCTTAGTAATGCATTACAACAGAACTCCGTAACTATAATTCTCTCTTCATCTATATTATGTCTTTACCTGCGCTTATTTAGACACTCACTACACTAAACCTCGGAGGTAATCAAATTGGACATATTGGAGCACAATATTTGAGTAATGCATTAAAGAACAACACGGTAATCCTCATTTGTCTTTACCTATACCCTCCACTTACCTGCATTTTTCATTTAGACACTTACCACATTAAATCTTGGATGTAATCAAATCGGAGACGTTGGAGCACAACATATTAGTGATGCATTACGGCACAACACGGTAGTTCTCAATTTGCTCTGTCTTTATCTTCACTTTTCCATTTAGACACTCATCACATTGGTTCTTGTATTGAATCGGATCGGAGATGTTGGAGTACAATATTTTACTAATGTATTACGACAGAATACGGTAGTTCTCATTTGTCTTCATCTATATCATGCTTTTACCTGCAATTTTTTTATTTAGACACTCACCAAACTAAATATCGGATGGAATGAGATCAGCGATGTAGGAGTGCAACATTTGAGTGATGGAGTACGACAAAACACAGTAGTTTTTATTCTTTCTATATCTATACTATGTCTCTACCTGTAATTTTTGCATCTAGACACTCACCACACTGATTCTTGCTGGAAATCAAATCGGAGACAATGTTTTAGATGAAATTAATCAGTTTGTTGAACGCAATATAAAAGATAAAGAGACCTGTAGTCACTAGCATCAAATATATTCCGATGAGAAACGGACACATACTGGTGATTAAGAGAAAGTTTTTGTTTTATTGTAATTTTGATAGAAATACTAAATAAAAGTGTTAATGTTCAGATTTAATGTATATTGTAGGGATAATATTTCTTTAGCATTTTTGCAGTCTGTCGTAATGGGGATGAAACTGCTTTGACTCTGAAAAAAAGAGCTTTACAGTAGTAATTTTGTGACTTTGTAGGGCGTGCACAACTATTTTGACGGTGGGTGTGCGTTTGAGTCTTGGTCTGGGTGTTGGTCAGGGTGTTGATCAG